CGTTATCTTCATCCTCTTCACCATCCCCCTCCTTCCGTCCATCCCCCACCACCAACCACCACCCCCATAACCCCTCCTACCAAAGCTCATCTCAACCTAACCACCAACCCAATCCCTTTTCTCCATTAGCTGCTCCACCGCTCCACCTAAGCCAAGCTCACCGTCGGCCACCCTTGTTTGTCTCCATGAATGAGGAGTCAATGCCACCTTAATGCTTACCTAAAGAGTTCAAATAATTTAGGAAATTATTTTCATCATTTGAATTTCGAATAGTTTCCTAAATTAGAAAGCTATTTTAGGAAAGTATTGAATCTCATTCATGATGTAATTCAAATTTAATTGATTTGAAATTCAAAATCTTTTCTATTTTATCAAATCTATTTTAGGAAAGTTCTTTAAGTAAATCAATTTGAATTTCAAATTCAAATAGGATTTATTTAAACACTTTCCTAAATTTTAAAGCCTTAAATTAAGCACCAAAAATCACCTCCCCAATCTCCTCCATCATCTTTAAACCGCCCACCCTTTAATAAATCTCTTGGATTTATTTCCTAATCCTCTATTCCCACTTGGAAATAATTTAAAACCCATTCTCATGACCTGGCCGAAATTCCCCTTGATGCATTCACCTCATTAAATCTTTCCAACCCCATTGAATTAAATTGGAGATCATGTCAGGCCTTCATCCCCTGGCTGGCTGAAACTTTTCAATTCCCGTATCAATTTCCTTCCATAAATTTCTCCCCAAACTCCATCTGACGTTGAGTTTTCTGCTTCTAAGGCTGCATCCAGAGAATTCCAGCAACGCTGTCCATCTATTCCCACTAGTCTCTTTAGATTTCCTCCATTAAATCCTCCCGTCCTCCATCCAACGTGAAGTCTTTGGGCAGCACTTAGAAACTCTGGGACAACCATTCGTGGTCTTCCAAAGTGCTGGACAACAAGATATTCTTGCTGGAATAAGTGGACAGCAAGCAGAATTCCAGGATTAGGAAGTAGAAGACTTCACGTAGATATTCTTGCTGAAATTGGGGGAAGGCTGTTTGGGTATTTGTTGTTTATTGTTTGCTTTAAGTAGGTGATTTTCCTAAGGTTAGGAGTATGCGTTGTTTGCTGAATTTAGATTGTTCTTAGGGTGACGGGGCTCTAGCCAGCGGCTAGAGATTTGAGATAGTTGGATCATCCTATGCAATTGAAGATCCACTTGTATCTTGACTTTCTTTCTTAAAACATTCAATAAAAAGTGTCCTTGTATGTTATATTCGTGGTTTTCTTATCGTTGGTTTTTTGAAATTGCTGAAATCATATTTCAGCCAAGTTTTTTCCTAAATTTCTACAAACATTTCCCATCAAACTATTATTCTAAGGAGTCCGTATGGACAAAAAGATTCAGAGTATAAGAACAACCGAATTAACTGGACTTTTTGAGAAGTGGGATTGTTAGTAATTTTAATATGAGAATAATGAAAAGAACTTGAATGCTAAAATTAATCATGTTTACAATGATCATCATATTCCTTATTCCAGCCATTAAAATCTGAGGGATAGCCAGTCTTACATTATTTATTCTTTCTGCTTAATCTCATTTATTTTTTCTATGCATCATTACCAAATGCCGTGGAGAACTGACTTGCAAAAGCAAATTAAAAAAAATTGTTTTTCTTCGTAATGACATTTCTGAGTGATAAACTGATCTATAATTTGCCCAACTTATCAGGATTAGTATCTGAATCAGTGAGTAATGCACTTGGTCTTTTTTATGTTTCTTGATTCATTTGTTCACAAATGCAGGGACCTCATTGCACATTGTGGTGCACATGCCTGCATTATCCCCCACAATGGTGAGGACATTTTTGATAGAATGAATTGTTTATTGGCAATAATTTTCCAAGTGCTCATGCTTAGAATTGGTTATTAAACTGACGTCACCAGGATCAAGGCAACATAGTGAAGTGGAGGAAGAAAGAAGGGGATAAGGTCAGACAAAGTTTGCTGTTCTGCAAAGTTATTTGGCATTGCTAAATGAGAGGGCCTTCTCTTCATTTCATGAATTAATTTATCTTCATTATTCAACTCCATTTTTTCTCATCTTAATTAAATTGACAGATTGATGTTGGTGATGTTATATGTGAAATAGAAACAGACAAAGCTACCCTTGAATTTGAAAGTCTTGAGGAAGGGTAATCTGCTATCTGGCATTTAATGACCTCCGCATATTTTGTGCATATAGTAGTTTAATTAATATTTTTTTTCTTGCTTTGTTTTTAAGAATTTTCTTTAACATGCAGTTTGATTTTTAAGTAGTCTGGTATTTTGTTTTTTCCCTCATATTTTATATCCATGTGAAGTAAGTTTCTGACAAAGCATGGAAAATCTTAGGACAGTAAATTGACAAAATGTATTGAAACATGCTTTATAAGAGCCTTTTCCCTTAAACATAGCAGAATATCAGAAGGATGGCTGTAAAAACCTGACCTGCTACTTCCCAACCTTTTTGTTTTATAATATTTCAGAATTTTTTATTTATTTGTCTCTTATGTTGAAACGTAATGCATTTTTGGAAAGATATTATGCAGTTATGAGTAATGTAATTTCTGATGCAAAAAAAAAAAAAAAGAAAGCTTCCTGCTTGATCACACTTGTGGTAGTTTTAGGCACTATGCCCTTGGCGAGTTATTCTCTTCTGGGCTTCAAAATATTGTGCCTAGCTCTTTAAAGAGGGCGTGCTCCGGGTCAACTTTTCAAAAGGAAGACTGGATATTAAACATATTGGATATCAGATATGACATTTCCCATAAATTTTGTTTCATTTTATGAGGACTTATGATCTTATTCAAGATTTTTCATAGGCGCAAGCTTCTATGTTTAATTACCCCTCCTGATCATGAGAGAGAAATTTAATTATGGTCAGTTGGTAAGTACTAAATTATTAGGTTACAATAACATTTATTTGGTTTAAAAAAAAAAAAAACATTTGTTGCGTCTAACTTAGAGCGGATGGTGGGGGAATAAGATGAATCTGATCTAGATCCCACGATTTTACGTCCTGAGTTGTCATAGACAATATTCTACTTAATCAATGGAGGTAGTCTATCCAATATGTCCGAAAGTTTATACAACAACAACAACATCAAGCCTTTGTCCCACTACATGGGGTCGGCTACATGAATCCTTTTTCTCATTGTGTCCGGTTAAAAGTCAAATTCTTATTTAAATCTAATAAAGAAAGACCATTTCTAATATTTTCTAATCAAGTCTTTTTAGGTCTACATCTACCTTTCTTAACATAAGTCAAATCTAATACCTCAAAGGCATCTGTTTAATGTAACCAAGCTATCTAAGGCAACTCTATCTAATCTTATCTTCCACTAGAGCTACTCCAACCTTTTCACGTATATGCTCATTTCGTATCCTACCTCTAAGGGTCAAGCCACTCATCCACATAAGCATCCTCATCTCTGCAACACTTAACTTAGTATTATGCTTTTCTTTTAATGGCCAACATTCGGCACCGTAAAGCATTGCATGCCTCACCACCATCTTATAGAATTTTTTTCTTAAGTTTGAGGGGGACTTTTCTATCGCGCAATAAGCCCGATGCATTCCTCCACTTCAACCATCCAACTTGAATTCTGCTGATAATATCCCCATAAATTTCAGCATCACTCTGAAAAATAGATCTAAGATATTTAAAATATATACTCTTATTAATGGCTTGATCGCCCAAAGTCACAATCCCCTCACTAGGTCTATTGCTACTAAATTACACTCTATATATTCAGTTTTAGATCTACTGAATCAAAAACCTTTAGACTCTAAAGTTGACCTCCATAATTCAAGTTTACCTTCAACTCCCTCTCTAATCTTATCAACAAGAAGAATATCATCAGCAAAAAGCATACACCAAGGTACATCCTCTTGCAAATGTTTAGTGAGAACATTCATGACTAAAGCAAAAAGATATGGACTTAAGGCTAATCCTTGATGTAATCATGTAATCCAACCGAAATAGGAAAATACTTGGTCAAACCACCTTGTGTTTGAACACAAGTAATAGCTCATGCATACATATCTTTAATGATTTGAATATAAGTATTATTAACTCCTTTCTTTTCAAGAACTCTCCATAGCACTTCTCTTGGAACTTTATCATATGCTTTCTCTAAATCAAGAACTATCATATGTAGATCCTCCTTATTCTCTCTATATTTCTCCATCAAACCTCTCAATATATGTATGGCTTCCATACTAGACCTACCCAGCATGAATCCAAATTGATTTTGAGAAACATTAATATCACGCCGCAACCTACGCTCCATAACTCGCTTCCATAGTTTTAAAGTATGACACATTAACTTAATTCCTCTATAATTCACACACTTCTGCACATCATCTTTATTCTTAAAAATAGGAATTAACACACTCATTCTCCACTGATCTGACATCTTTTTAGTCTTCTAAACAACATTAAAAAGTTTAGTTAGCCAAGAAATTCCTTCATCTCCTAAGCATTTCCACATCTCTGTTGGAATATCATCAGGTCCAATAGCTTTTCCACACTTCATTTTCTTTAAAGCCTCTCTATCTTAAGTTTTACTTATACGCCGTTAAAAACAAAAATCTTTATTTTCATTTAGGATGATAAAGTCACTAAGGTTAATTGTATGTCCGAAAGTTTATATGCTGGACTAAAAAAATAATGCATTATACCTTAGGGTGATGCTGTTGTAGACAATATTGGATGAGATATGGAGGAGCGAAGGTGGAGGGGAGTCAGCGGGGTTGTTGGAGAACGGAAGAGGGTCTCAAGAGAGATGGAAAGATAGAGGTCTGACATGGAGTCAGACAATGAGGAGATTGCGCAGGTTGGGCTTGCGAGATTGAACAAGAAATAAAAAATGAGAGCTAGTGTTGCCTGTTTGGTTTTTTTGCTAGAGAGAATGAGTAAGGCCATTGCTTTTTTGTTTTCTTAAGCTTTTTTTTTTTCCTTAAAATTCCAGTGTCGAACAGGTAATGCGAGATATGTAGGATACATGAGCATAAGAGCGAGATATGGGAAGCAATGGCCTTCTTTTTTTATTTGAGTTTTTAACAATTTTAATTTGATAAAAATAATTGATATATGTAAATTGGGTCATTGTGCAATTTCTCATCACTTGTGCATGTTGAAATTTTGATCTCGTTTCGTACGCTAGTAAATTTTGCAGATTTTTCTTGTGGGGTGACTCGGACAATATGGGCTTCATTCTAGGCATTTTCAACATTTCAGACATTTCAGTGTCATCCCTTCTTGTGAAACGGGTGACATTTGAGTGCTTTCGAAGCAATCAGGGCATTTGGAAATGATATGCAGCATGCACATCCGACGATGAACTTCTTAGGTTGGATGTCAGAAACCAGCTGGCTATAGAGAGAGCAGCAGCAATAGAGAGTTGAGAATACCTGCTATTTTGAAAGCACGAATAAGCTTGGGTTTTTATTTGATAAATTTTCAGGTTAATGAATCCCCTGCTTTAAGAGGAGGTTAGATTAAATATAACATGCTCCCATGGGTTAATAGAAAAAAATAAGAAATATTGTATTAACAAAACAATAACAAAAATGATGGTAACAAAGTGATGTGAACATATGCTACATTCAAGAATTGCTTAGGAATATTAATAAATTGACAAGCTTGACAATTATATAATAATGGAGATCAAGAGCTAATTTAAGCGACTTCTCAATTTTTGATAAAGTAATATCAAACAATTACAAGTTTAGGCAGAAAATAGTAAAATAATAATCAAGACAATATGTACTTATCCACGAGTCACACAAATCCCACGATTAACAACCGGAACAGACACAGTGAAGTTCCCTCACACTCTTCAAATAATTTCAGTGGAAGAAAATTGATACGATACTAACCATGCCACTAAGAAGAAGTAAACACTTAAGATTTCAAACAACAAAAGTTACCCAAAAAAAAGTAGTGGGTGGAATGTAGGTGAGTTACCACTGGATGGGAGGTCTTTGATGGTCAATGGAGGTTGTAAAAGATAACAACTTTTGTAAGAATTAATGGGGGAAAATGGGAAAAAACAACATTAATTAGGATCTAATAGGGGGGGGGGGATAGGAAAAAGGCAACAACTCTTAGGAATTAATGGGGAAGGGGAAAATGTGGCAATTAAAGTGAAGTTAATGGGGAAGGAGAAAATGTGGCAATTAAAGTGGAGTTAATGGGGAAGGGAAAAATGTTGGAATGAAAGTGGAGCTAATGGGGAATGGGAAAAGTCAGTAATTAAAGCAGAGTTATTGGGGAAGGGGAAAATGTGGCAATTAAAGTGGAATTAATGGGGAAGGGGAAAATGTTGTAATTAAAGTGGAGTTAATGGGGAATGGGAAAATACAATAATTAAAGTGGAGCTAATGGAGAGATGAATAGGAAAATGTAGCAAACCTTGGGGAAATCAATGGAGAAGAGGAAAAGGTGGAGGGAATACCAAAAGGCTATGGAGTGGGGGTTGGTCGGCAATGGGCGGAGAGGCAGGGTGGGCTTGCTTGTGAGTGGGTAGGCGGTTCGACTGTATGGGGTAGCAGGGAATTTTAGCCAGTTGTTTGGAAGAGGGTTGGAGGGCTCGGCAACCAATGGAGGAAGGTGGGGTGAGGAGGGAGAGAGAATAGAGCCAAGAACCTTGCCACGATGCCGGTTGTTGGGTGTTGCGTTGCCCTACTCTTAGGGACTTCACTCTTCTCACAAGAAAACTCAAATACACACAATTTGGAAAAACTGAAGTTTAATTTATAATAATCATCATCTCCATACAATAGTCTAAGGTCTTAATATATAGGCCTCAAAACATGAAGACTCAAAATACTAAAATGCTCCTTAGGCTAGAACAGAAAAATAACCCAACATAAGGGTAAAATGAGAAACACTCCCAACATAACATGAAATAAGAAAATGAAATACTTGAAATAAATCATAAATAAAGGCTCCTATTCATAACCGTCGATCTACGACTCCTGTAATAGATGTGCTAAGATTTCCTGCTGATGTCCTCATCATTCTCCCCAGGTGGGAGAAAGTTCGACCCCGTCGAGTAAACATCACGGGTGCTCTCATACATCTCTAGAATGTCGAGATCCAAACTCTATAGCTCATCACGGTCAATCCATGTGTTCTTCGTCTCTGGTTTTCCTTTCCATTGAGCTAAATACATTTGGCGCCCACCATCCTTAGTGGAAATGACTTCATCATTATGTATTGTTTTAATCTTCTCCGCATTAGGTAAGGAATGGATATTTGGGAGTGGAGATAGGTTAGGGTTCTCACCATGTGGGGTCACACAAGACTCAATATGTAATGGATTTGTGGGGTTAAACTCTGGTCCTTCAAAGGCTACTAGATCTTCAATGTTAAACATATGATTCATCTTAAAACCTTCATAAAAAATGTTAAAACCTTCAGGTAGCTCTAACACATAAGCATTGCTATTCATCTTTGTTATTATTTTAAAAGGTCCCGCACTTCTATTATTTAAATTTTTAACGACCCCATGTGAAAACCGTTCCGAACAAATCCGTACCATTACAAAATCTCCAACCTCGAATTCTTTAAATCATTTCTTAAGATCTGCATTAAGTTTATAATTAGCATTGTTTTGTTCAATCTTTTTATTAATTTCCTTATGCAATTCCTGGAGATGTGATGCAAATGCAAATGCAAACTCAAATGTTCTAATCTTATTTATAGGTTGCCTAGGTTGGTACCCGTACACAATTTTAGCAGGGTTTAGGCCCATGGTCTAATTAATAGAGTTTTATATGCAAATTCAGCCGTCGGGAGTTTGGAGTCCCAATCTCGAACGTGTTCACCTACCAAAGTTCTTAAGAGGTTGCCTAAGCTCTTATTAACGTCCTCTGTTTGCCCATCATTTTATGGATGAAAGGTGGTGGAAAATTGGAATTTCGTTCCCATCTTATGCCATAAGGTCTTCTAAAACTAACCAGTAAATTTGACGTCCCGATTAGACACTATGGTTTTAGGAAAGACATGCAATCTAACAATCTCATCAAAATATAGTTTGGCTATTTGAGAAGCATCAGAAGTCTTGGAACAAGGAAGGAAATTGGTCATCTTTGAGAAATGGTCAACTACAACGCATATAGAGTCTTGTTTCCTAGATCTTTTTGGTACCACTAGTATGAAATCCATGCTTAAGTCTTGCCATGAGCAATTGGGGACAGGGAGGGGTGTGTAGAGACCTGTGTTTAGTTTTCGTTGTTTGGTTAGCTGACAAGTATTACACCTTCCTTTCAACCAACTTACTTACATCACGTTTAAGGCTAGGCCAGTAAAAACGATATTCCACAGAGGCCATTGTTTTTTGTTTGACCAAAATGCCCGGCTAGACCTCCCGCATGTAATTCCCACTTGAGGAATTCCCATAGGGAAGTGTTAGGGATACAAAGCTTCTAGGATTTGAATAGATACCCATCTTCAAGAAAAAGGTCATTAACTATTCGTTTGTCCCCAGTCATCAGAAAGGAATATGTTTCCTTAAAGTCAAGGCAATCCTTATAATCGCTCTTAACACGCTCAAATCCAATTACTAGGCCTTCATTTATAGCCTTCGCTGCCCACACTCCATGCCAAAAATAGATTAATCTCCTTGCCAAAAATAGATTAATTTAAGTAGATTAATTCAAATAATGGCCCCCACTTTTAATGGGAGGCAATCAAATAGGGCGTGGGCCCCTATTGCTTGGGTGGCAACATGGGAGGCGGTTTGACCCACCTCTTGCAGACTAAAGTCGGCCAATGCGGGGCCGGCTAGGTCGGTTCAGGAGCTGACCTAATAGTTACCTCCAAAATTTTCTTTAAATCTTGGTGGTATTTCCATAAATATTTCTTCTTCCAGATCCCCATATAGGAATACATTTTTTACATCCAATTGTTCTAGATGCCAATTGTACT